TGTATGTATGAATGTATGTATGTAAATATAAATATATATATATATATATATATACATATGCATACGAAGCAACGCACAGCAGGAAAGAGCACTCGCACAATCGGATACATACCTCGAATGCGATTCGAGCTCTAAGAATTTAGCGACCATCTCAAGGCAATTGAACTGAAAAAGCAGAGACACCATCTCGGTATACTCCCCTAACTGTGTGAGACACTCCAACACATGCACAAAATCGCGCGCCATGCAGCGCATCCTTCTGAAGTGGGCGTACTTGGCTTGGCCCTGGTAGGAGGACAACCCATTTGTGCAATTGAGATATACAAGTAAAGTACTGCTGTTCTGTGTTGATAGTACGCGAAAAGGACAGAGAGCCTGGCTAGACTGGGCCCGAAAGCAGGTGTCACGGACGACAGCCGAGAATATATCTCAATTTTCGGTAAGAAACAAGTCTATTCCCTCTCACTTCATATCCTCGTCAACATACCCATCATTCCCATCTAGTCGGGTGGAGACCCCGAGACACAAACATGCGAGATGCAAAATAGTGAAGTTTACACATATTGCGATGTGTACACGTGTACGCAAAATGTAAGTGCAAGCTGAAATTTGTATCGACCCTCTTCTATAGCAATACACCGTGACTATATTGCTCACTATATGCTACCTTCAATGCCTTCCGCAGACACACAATCGTTGCACCTAAACAACGTACCAACATCGCGATAGCACATCCGGAAACATTGGCACAACACTGACAGTTTTTTCTCTCGGCCCCGAAATATTGGATCAGGTGCATGTACACAGCTTGAAGTGGATGGTAGCCTACGCATGCTTTCAGCGAATTTGTTTATAGAACACTACACAAACAGTACCTCCCATCCACGAGACGCTCCCACAAACACAAACGCTCGAATGAAGAAAAAAACCCTAATATACTACTAAACGACCGCTCTCGGATACCAATCGACAGAACTGGCTTATTGATGCCTGGGAAGAAACTGTCAAATGCAAGAGCATGTGCAGAATACACTCACTCCTCCCAAGCAACATATCCTCATTACAAAACTACACCATATCTAGTTACATTACCACGGCATGGCCATCCTTATGACCGGTCCCAGAGTGCCAGGTACAGGTGTACGTGCGAAGCACACACACTCACCATAATGCATCATGCACACGATAACATACCCAGATACCCTTGATTTTGACACTGGATTTTCGTTTATGCCCAGTCACGAAAGTAGTAAATGCAAGCCATATGCGAACCACACTCGCTTCACCAAGCACACGCTTTACGAACACAAGACATACCCAGATACCCTTCCACGGCATTGGTTTCTTGGTGCCCAGTCCCAGATTGCCAGGTGCAGGTGCATGTGTTGGCCGCGGAGTAGATGGTGAGCTGCGGTTTGGAGACGCAGGGCTCTTGGCGTTCTTCTGTGAGTGTGGCGCTACGAGCATCTCTCCTCTAGTGGGTGTGGAGTTGGGGGATATCATGGCAACTACTAGGGCGGCATCGAAGGCTATACTCGACCGGAGGTGTGTGCGGAAGGATTTGAATGCATTCGCGCTGTCCGTTGGTTCGATGATCTGCTCTGCACCCGCTACACCTTGTTGTACGTCTGTTGGTTGCTGTTGCTGTTGCTGTTGCTGTTGCTGTTGCTGTTGTTGTTGTTGTTGTTCTGTTTCTTGGTCTGTTTGTGGTTGGGTTGCTTGTGGGTGCGGCTGTTGTTGTCCTGAAGTTCCCGTGTTTGTCTCGGACGTGGGTGGGTCTTCAAGAAACAAGTCAGCCGCGTGGGCAGGGAAGTGCTCGTACTGTGTATTGTCCCACATGTGTAGCAATTGGAAACTGAACATATACTCGGTGTACTCTCCTCCAAACACTTCGATGGCGTCGAGCCCGTCTTCGCTCACCCCTAACGCACCCCACACCTGCGCTGCGTTGCGCTCGCGTGTTTGTTGCTGTTGCTCGTGCTCGGCCTGTTCTCGGGCTGTGTAAGTTTGTATGCGTGTACAATACGTGAGTATGTGTGCATGTCTTGAGTCATAGGTATATTTAGTAGGAGTACGTTGGGAGAGTGAATGAGCATGGCAGAGTGGTAATGGAATTGAGATCTACAGGACACCAAGATACACGCCATTGAAATTAAAATTCCGACACACACTGCCATAATGCGACAATGACTTGCACATATACGACAAAAGGACGTTGTGTGTCCCAACACTGACCTAACAATATACGACAGCGTCCCATATCACAATCATCAGTTCAACAGTGCCTAAACCAGTGACCTGCACAAAAGCGTTTAGAGGCACATACACAACCCGAGGAGTCCGTAAACCCCGATCACCTACCCGTTCTATTTGTATGTATGTGTGTGTGGCCATGTACCCCAGCGCGCTCTGAGAGTGTGAGAGAAGTCTCCTCCTGCGCCGAAGAGTGGGGCAGGGCATCCATGCGGATATACGGCAATTTCAGCCCACAGAATAGTTTGGCATAGAACCGGAGGCGCAGCATCATCGCAACCGATACAGACTTCTGGGCCACGACTATATCACCTATAGCTTTGCTGGGCAAGGACGCCGCTAGCAGACCTGGGTGGGGTACAATATGCCGGGAATACATGGGTCAACATACGCTCTGAGTAGTATCCAGTGTGCGTGTTGTCTGTGCTGTGCGTGACTTTATTCGCAAAACAGCATCCCCGCTGTGTCGTATAAAGTATGTATGTGGATGATAGCGTATATGCTTTGAGTTGTAATGGGCAAGCAGTGTACTTGTGTGTTTCGTAGTACATATAATGTGTGTTGTGCGTGTAGCGTATGCGGTTCATGCGTTTCTGCCGTGTTGTGTGGTGTGTGGTGTGTGGTGTGTGGGTGAGTGTTCTTTGGGTGGTATTGGGCAAGCAGTGTACTTGTGTGTTTCGTAATATTATATAGTGTGTGTTGTGCGTGTATCGTATGCGGTTCACGTGTTTCTGCCGTGTTGTGTGGTGTGTGGTGTGTGGTTGAGTGTTGAGCGGTGTGCCGTGTCAATTGTGTGCTGTGTTGTAAGTGCTGCGAGTGTTGTGCATTTATTTCTTCTGTGTCGTTCGTTGTTTTGCTTGGTACTGTGTTTGGACTAGGGCACATAGTATAGACGATACTATTCTGCTGCGAGTGTTGGTTATTTGTATGTTCGTTGTAGTAGTGAATGAATAATAAGTAACATACGCGGAGATAATACATAGTGTCACTCACCTGGTCTCTGTATAAGTAATTGACCCATGCGTACTGCATCAACCTTGAATCATGTATCATTAATTCTATAAACAAAGCTGCTTGAGACGGTCAATGATACTCCCCGGCAAAGTACAGAACTACAACCCAAATCGGAAACTCCCAACGCAGCGTAACAGTGAGATATCGTAGGGGATGCGTACACTAGTACTGAGATCTGCGGCCCAATGATGTGTACGTAAATCCCCACAACGATTTCAAAGTGACTGATCCTGGACGTTTGCTGAGCTGGTCACACCTACCTGTGGAATACGTGCGTAGAACCATGTTGTCACCCTGACGTGCCCTGCCTATCAGTACATCGATCTCATCTCTCGTCTGCAGAAACTCTGGTTCGACTATCGAACACATGATGGAGAGGATTCGAGTCGCCTGCACGCGATGGGGCAAAACAATTCGAATTTGTCTCGTGAGTAAGTGAAGGGATGGGTGAATGCGAGTACCTGTTGTGTATTCGCTAAGTGTGCTACCAAAGGGATGCTTGTTACTGAACCACTAGATAGAATGATATAAACGTGCACACTACAAGGTCTAACTATACCAAACGCACAAGGTTGGTACTGCATATCGAACTCAGGCTCACTCCATAGTCGTATCTCTATTTGCCGGCATTGCCACTGTCCCGGTACTAAGAAACTGCAAATGACCTAATGCCTCACAAACATACCACTCGATGGACAGCACATACAAAAACATATTCAACAGTCTAAACAACATTGGACTAAGAGCTGTTTGATTTGCAGTTGAGTGCAGTCTAACTCGGATACAAAAGAATTTTATATTTAAGCTGTCTAGCTAGACACCAACACGCGAACTGGAGATACACCAAGATCCATGTACGCTTGTACACTGTCAATCTATACAGGTATCATCAAAACGGAGTGTCATCCCATGAACACGCGATAATGCGCGTACCTGGATGACAATGTGAAGACTATGATGGCGGAAAAATTCGGTGCAAAGTGAATCGTAGAATCCGTTGGAGGCATTCCACAGCACTAAGATCATCTGTCCCACAACTGCCTGGTCTTTGTCTGGTAGGTGATACGAACCATTTGGAGATGAGAATATGGTATGAGAACTAAGAGTGATCTATACCAAATATCGCAGGATAAGTGCAGTGTATGAACTTAGCTTGATCAATACCTGGAAGTATATGTGAACAGGAACATACCATGCAAAACACTCGCCTATAAAAAGGTAAGTCCATATATCCATATACATTACCACAACCGTATCGAATAAAAACGCTGACTTAGAATGAATTCATAGTCAAATATATATTATAGGAATTTAATAAATATATATATATACATATACATAAAATTTACATACATATACATATATATATATATATATATATATATATATATATATATATATATATATATACATATATATATATATCTATATATATACATACATTTACATAAACATATATATATACATATATACATACATTTACATATAGGCATTTACATATATATATATATATATATATGTTAATATATATTTATATATATATATAAACATACAAATATATATATATATATATTTGATATATATTTATTTATATACATACATAAAAATATTTATATATATATATATATGTGTGTGTGTGTGTGTGTGTGTGTGTGTGTG